TCAGAATGATTTCAATAACTGCCAAGTTATTAGAATCCAGCCTATCTTCAAGTTGCTGAATATGATCAACAAAATTAAACAATTGATTCTTCTGATTCAGATAATCATCAATTTCTACACCTGTGCCTACCCGACACTTCGGACACTAGCCGAAGGAAAATGTATCATTCTCATCGGCGATAAGCCGAAGACCTCCCTTTCGACACGCCAACACGCCTGCCGCGTCGGCGGCTGAAGAAAATTTTCAACTTTAACACCCTCAGGAACACCAAAACACTGCTCTAACACCTCTTCTGCACCATATTCACAAAGAAAAAAACATTGATTTAGCTGAGTAAAGGACATATAAACGTCTTATAACCCATCAAAGACCTGCAACTCCATCCCTGTGTGACTTGAGATTATCATGTGGGACCAGAGTCCCACATGTGGGACATAAGCTCCCTCATGTGGAACATGAGATTGCATACTTGGTAAATTGGATCCCTCATGTGGGATTGGCGTCCCAAATTAGGGATTCAAACTCCCACATGTGAGACTCCAGAGTTCTCATGTGGACCTTGAATTTGAGATACCTCATGTGGGACGCAAGGTCACTCATGTGGAACGCCAGGTCACACATGTGGAACATATGATTACACATGTGGGACGCCAGGTCACTTATGTGAGACCTCATATCACACTTGTGGGACTTTGTATTTCCCATGTGGGACATAATTTTCCCCATGTGGGACGCAAGGTCACCCATGTGGGACTTTGTATTTCCCATGCGGCACATAACACCACTCATGTGGGAGTTCCTAATTCCCACCTGGCGCGCAAGTCTTACATGTGGGACGCAAGGTCACTTATGTGGGATTTTGCTTTCTCATGTGGAACTTAATATTCCACATGTGGGAAGCAAGGTCAATGATGTGGGACTTTGTATTTCCTAAGTGGGACGGAAGATCCCACATGTAGGACTCTATATTTCTCATGTGGGACTCTATATTTCTCATGTGGGACATACAATCACTCATGTGGGAGATGAGATCCCTCATGTGGGACATGAGATCCCTCATGTGGGACATACAATCACTCATGTGGGAGATGAGATCCCTCATGTGGGAGATGAGATCCCTCATGTGGGAGATGAGATCCCTCATGTGGGAGATGAGATCCCTCATGTGAGACATGAGATCCCTCATGTGGGACATGAGATCACTCATGTGGGACACGAGATCCCTCATGTGGGACATGAGATCACTCATGTGGGACATCAGATCCCTCATGTGGGACATGAGATCCCTCATGTGGGACATCAGGTCACTCATGTGGGACATCAGATCACTCATGTGGGACACAAGATCACTCATGTGGGACATCAGATCACTCATGTGGGACATCAGATCACTCATGTGGGACATCAGATCACTCATGTGGGGCGTGATATTACACATCAAAAGTCAAAAGATAAGGGTCAACTTATACATATTTTCTCAGCTTAAACCCCAATCATCTTCCTCATCATCATCATCATCCAGTATGAACAGTTGATCCACCCTTCCATCCAGCTGACCAAT